AATATATTATATATATTATATATATTCATTCACAAGAATGTATGTGTGGGTACAGGTATGGGTATATATGTATGTTTGTCTGTAGTTCTGTTTGTATTCATAAGACTGAGTGTGTGTGTGTGTGTCTGTATGAGTGCACGCATGTGTATGTGCATGTCTGTTTGTAGTTCTCTTTGTGATATTATTCTGTGGTTTAAGTTGAGGACCATATAAAATGAGTTAGGAAGTATTCCTTACTCTTATTATTTTGAAGAGCTAATGAAGGAGTGGTATTTTTATTCCAAAATTTTTTAATATTCAATATATGTTTTAAATGCTTTATAAGATGTATTTTATAGGATTAAAAGCCATCTGAACCTCAGCTTTTCTCTGTGAGTTTTTTTTGGGGGCTTGAGGTGGGGTTGAGGCAGTGTCTCTTTATGTAGCCTCAGCTGGCCTTGAACTCATGGCAGTCCTGCCGCCTCATCATCCCAAGTTCTAAGATTATGTCTCTCTGAGTTTTTAAATTACTAATTTATTCTCCTATAATTGATGTGTTCAGATTTCCTCTTTTCTTCTTGAGCCAGGTTCAGTAATTGTGTTTTTCTGGGAACTTGTCAATTTCATCTAAGTTATCTAATTTATTGACATATAGTTGTTCACCCATAAGATAAAGGTAGTACAGTGTCACTTCTCTTTGGTGTTACCATTTTTTTAAAAACTAGAAAGCCAAGCTGGGCATGGTGGTGCACACCTGTAATCCCAGCACTTAGGAGGCTGAGGCAGGAGGATCACCGTGAGTTCCAGACCAGCCTGGGCTACATAGTGAGTTCCAGGTCAATCACAACTACATAGTGAGACCCTGTCTCAACATCCCCCCAAAAAAACCTAGAAAGCCAAAACATATATATAATATAGTCTCATTTCTTAAGTTTGAGGATGTAGAAAGTTATAACAAAGAAGTATATATAAGTTGGGGAGAGTGCTGCATACCCATAATCCTAGCACTCTGGGAGCCTGAGGCAGGGAGATCACAGGTTCAAGTCTTGCCTGAGCAACTTAATGACTTAGTGAGAAAATAAAAGGATGGGTTGAAAGTCAGTGGGAAGGCCTTGGGTTCAATTCCAGCACTACAAAAAAAAACAAAAAAAGAAAAATGAAAAACAAATAAAACCCCAAAACAAAAAAAGAAAAAGAATCACAGGGCTGTTTCCTTAAAAATATTTGGACAATAATAAAATGAGTTTCCTTATGTTATTTTGCAAAGTCATGAGAAGCATTTAAGAGTAAGTGAAAATCATTTTTATGTCTCTGTAGGTTGGTATCATACGTGATCGCCTGATTCAGTTCATTGCTAAATTGCAGTTTGCTATAACTGTTCTTTTGGCATCGTGGAAAGAAAAAAAACAACATCAAACAACAACTACCACTTTATGCATAGTCAATGCTATCTTCTTCCCGTTTGTATTGGTCATCATAGCTTTGTCTACACTGCTGTCCTCTCCGTTACTCCCCCTCTTCACCCTTCCTGTGTTCCTGGTGGGGTTTCCCAGACCCACCCAGAGTTGGCCAGGAACTGTGGGCACTGCAGCTTGTGTGTGTGAGGACACCATGTACTATGAGCAGATGGTCCCTAGGTTGACTGCTGCGTTGCAGACTGCGATGGCAGCTGGATGTTTAGGTAAGTCAGTGGGCCGTGCTTTGGAAATCCTTACAAATGCGAAGTCCAAAAGGTGAATCATGAAACAGGTTCCAATACATTGATGTATATACAGAGAGATTGTGTATGAAATAGAAGTATATCTCCTCTACCTATTTTGAAGTAAATAAAGGTGTAAAATAAAAATTATTTGGGAAAATTACATTAAGGTGATTAGAACATATTGTAAAAATTTTCCCCTATTTAAATTCAGGTTACAGGCACACCACTGAAAGATAAAAACAATCTGCTTGATTTCCATGAATTTACAATGAGTTCATGTCAAGTAGATGCAATAGCTTAGCTCTATAAAGAGAGAAACCTAGCTGGTTAGGCGTATGCCCCCCGCTTTTTTAGTATATTCCATTATGAAGGTTCCAGAAAAAAAAGCTGATGGTGACTACCTCCTTCACTGTTTACACCAGCAGGAACACAGTTTCTTATCAGTGGGTGGTTCCCCAATGGACACAAAGGCCATCTTGTGAGTGGACCTTGGAAAGTATAACCATTAGTCCTGCTGTGCAGTTCTTCTTTGCAGTGTGTTATACAGTCAGAGATGCACACAGATAGCTTACGTAACGTCACTTATAACAGTAAAAATTGGACGTATTTGAAATGTTTATTAACGTAGAAATTAATACTCTAGTAGTATTAAGTTAGTGAATGCTGAACTCAGTTATAGTGAATGAACTTTAGTTTGCAGTCAGTGTGAGTACATCTTGAGAACAGTTTTGAAAGAAAAACTAAGTTTTAAGTTTTTGTAGATTGTAAATTTTAAACCACAAAATAATTATATATTTATATACATTTATATAAAAATATCCAAATCTTTTAAATCAATGCAGAATTAATTGGTTCTTATATATTTAATATTTTTTCTAATGTAACATGTATTTAGCCTTTTGTACACATGATGTTATATTATATATTATCAGAATACATTCTCTCTTCCAATTTCTTGTGAAGAGCTTGATTTGCTTTCCTTGATATGCAATTAACAGTTACTTCTGTTCATTGTTGACCTAATAAGAAGGTGTTGTGAATCAGTTGTAGTTGTTTTTCCAACTTTAAAGAATCGTATGGCATCTTAAGTGAAATAAATAGCACACAAATGTGTAAATACTGAATCGTTTCTCTGGTGTGAAAAACTAAAAGTGTGAATAAGATTCAAATTGTATAATTGATAATGTGAACTAGGAAGAAAAGGGCTAAAGTTGTAGGTAAGGTGGGAAGGGTAGGGGGAAAGAAATAAGGGACAAGAAAAAATATGAGAAAAGGAAAAAAATGGAATCAAAGCCTTTGTAAATAGGGGAGGGTAGAGGGTGGGGGGGGATGAAGGGAGGGCAGGGGTTGGGGAAAAAATGAGAACCAAGACCTGTCATGTAAAGGTACAAGGTCCCAGTGATGAATGTGACTGTACCGTACACCTAAAAAGTACCAATAAACTCGATGGAAAAAAAAACAAGATTCATATGGCAAAATAAAACATGCTTAAAGAATGATTTCTTTTTTTCTGATTTGTTTTAGGTCTCCTCTCACCTGGAACACACTACTTGGGCCGTTTTCAGGATCGTTTAATATGGATAATGATTCTAGAACGTGGCTATACATACTGCTGTATTAACATTAAGGTCAATGTGCATGTGAATCTTAACTGCTATTTTTTATAGTTCATGTGTAAAGTTTTACTTCTTAGGTATACAACCACAATAACCCAGTTTGAAAGAATACCTTTTTAATTACCTGTGAAAACTCCTAACAATAGCTAAGGTATATTTCAGTAAGTACATGGAAATATCTTTCCATATATTCCACATACTGGTAGCTGAATGGTATTGATTGCATAACAAAATATATCTGCTTGCTTTCCTTCCAGTCCTGTTCTTCTTATCCACGTCTAGCTGAGCATTTTGAAAATGGGAATCAGTAATATTTTCAACTCTTTGGTCATCTGTGTAGTCATTCTCAGCTTAATAAAAGCCATCTACTCACCTCATTGCTGTGCCCTTTTCTGTCCTTCTTGAAGAGGAAGACCCCTTGTTAGATGGCTGATCATCATCTCCAGTTTGGTTTTTCCAGTTGTCTTCACCTTACTCTAGGTTCTGACAAGCACTTGACGTAATTTTCTCTTCTACTACACAGCTACTCCTGGTCAGTGTCCTTTGATCGTTCTTCCTTTTTTCTTTCACCTCTTAATTGTCCTTGGAGACAACACTATATTTCTAGTTGCTCAAGCCAAGAGTAATGATTCACCTTTGACTCCTTTTTTATTTCGATAGCCAACATTAAATCTATCCAGAAATCCTGCTCTGCCCTCAGCCATGTGCTGTGTCCCATCACTTTGCACCTCCTTATCCTCAGCTACCTCCATCTCTTCCCCAGATAACTGCAGTAGCCTCTCAGTTGCTGTCCCTGTTTTACCTGCATTGCATTGTCAACTAAAATAATTTCTTAAATGCAGTTATTATCAGGTCACTTCTGTACTCAAACTCACACAGTGGATTTCTTCCTTCCTTCAGTGTGAAAGTCAAGGCCCAAAATAGGCTCCCCATTCCCTGTTTGGCCTCTAATTCCATGCTGGCCTTTTGAATGTTCAGTCTGGCTGGCGCAATGTGCCTTCAGCTAATCACATAGCCAATAGAGCCTGGAACAGTGCCTGGCACAGAACAGGCTTTTAAGAAATATTCGTTGAAAGATGGAATGAGGAAATTTTATGTCATAGCACAGATTTGATGAAATTACTCCTGACCAAAAACCTGTCCCTTTAGAGCAGTGCTTCCCGAAGTGTAGTGCCCAGATGAATAGCGTTAGCAGAAAATGAAATTTTTTTTTAATTTTGTTTTTTTGTGACAATATCCTGCTATGTAGTTCAGTATGGCCTTAATTCACTATGTAGTCCAAGCTGGCCTCGAACTTGCAGAAATCCTCCTGCCTCAGCTTTCCAAGTGCTGGTATTACAGGTGTGTACCATCATACCTGGCTGAAATGAAAATTCATGAACCTCAAAGTGGACCTACCAAAACTGAAACGTTGAGAGTGAGCCTGGCAGTTGGCTCTTAAAGAGTGCTGCCTGTAATTCTGACTCACCTAGGGGTTGACAATCTCTGTCTGGTCTTCCAAGAATTTTCCATAGAAATTATCAAGGATATATTGATTGCTTAATTTTATGCTATGAAAATAATATCATCTAATAATACCTAATGTGATTTTTTTCTGGTCTTTTGTTCTAAAAATACACTTCTTAATGGCAATCTGTTTTATTTTGAAATGTTGTTTATCGTGTGCCATTTACTAACACTTAATATTACATTTTAAACTTTTCAAAGTGTAAATAGCTATGTAAATGTTTTCTTTGAAAGAAAGAGAACAGGAACCTAAGAGGTTGAATCACCTACTGAAGTTGTATGCCAGTAACTGGTGAAGCCATGACTTAAAAAATGTGTTCTGAAGACCCTGGTACTTTAGTGGAAAAAGTAAATAAGTGAATAATAATAAAACAGTGAGCTTTGATGTCATCTCTAAATTATTCCTTCCAAGGAAGTTACCAAAATCTGTTTCAAATTCATATAAGAACTATACTCTTGAGTGAAATAAATAGGACACACTTGAGTAAATACCAAGTAGTTTCTCTGGTGTGAAAATTAAAAGTGCAAATGAGATTCAAATGGTATAATTGATAGTGTGAAATAGGAAGAAAATGGCTAAAGAGGAAGTGGGAAGGGGAGGGGAAAGGAAATAAAGGAAAAGAAAAAATGTGAAAAAGGAAAAAATGGAAACAAAGTATTTGTAAATAGGGGAGGATGGAGGGGTAGAAGGGAGGACAGGGGCGTGGGGAAAAAATGAAAAACAAGACATATCATGTAAAGATACAAGATCCCAATGATGAATGTAACTGTTTCATTTGCTTGAAATGTACCAATAAACTTAATGGGAGAAAAAATGAATGTATTCATAATACTCAGTGTTTACTTATTGCATACCTGCTTTGTACCTGGTACAAAGCACTGAGAACATAGCAGTAATGAAAAGACAATTTTTATGCAGTTTATGCTGTAATTAGATGACACAGACAGTAATTACATAAATAAATGTATTATGCTATCATTACAAAACTTGAATAAGAATATAATTAGTCAAATTTGTGACACTTGCAATAGTATAATGCTCTTAGTCTCCTATATAAAGTTTCCTATAAAGTGGGGTAGAAAGGATACGAAAGTATGGAACATACTTTGTAATTCCACTTTTACCTTTTTTACTCCCAAATTCTGATTTAATGTTTCATGTGACTCAACCTTGACAATCGATACAGTCTTTTAAAATTATGTTCATGTTCAATAAAGTTATTTGCCTGATTTCTAGTGGAAATTTTATGGCTTCTCTTAGAATAATAGTAGAATTACATTTAGCCTCTATCCAGTATCAAAATATCAAATGTCGTAAAGTTTAAGGCGTAACGCCTGAGTTAAACTTTTTGTCATTTTAATTATGAGAAGCTGTGGGTATTTGTAAGACTAGTTGCTGTTCTCTATGGGTTAAGTGGTTATAAACTCGTCTTTTTAATTTTCTTTTTAGGGGTTAGAATTGCAAGAAACATCCTGTCATACTGCTGAAGCACAAAGAGTTGATGAAATTTTTGAAGGTGCTTTTGAACAAGAGCACCCCAAAATATGTTCCCTTAATGAACACGTTGGGAATGTCTTAACACCCTGTACTGTTTTGCCTGTGAAGCTGTATTCTGATGCCCGGAATGTCCTGTCTGGCATAATTGACTCTCATGAAAACTTGACAAGTTTTAAAGGTGACCTTATCAAAGTGCTTGTGTTCATCCTCATTCAGTACTGCTCCAGAAGGCCCAGTAAGCAGGAGAATTTTCACGAAACTGAAAGTAAAGGGGAAACATCTCTAATAGTCCTGCCTCCTTTGAACTCTTCACCATGTCCTACGTCCCCAGAAGACACAAACAGTTTTCATTCACAGACTTTCAATGATTGGTCAGACGACATTTTTGACGATGAACCAACTGTCCAAAAAGGAAAAGAAGGAAAAAATTGGGTGAAAGATTTGTCAGGTACAACTGTGCCTATTCCAGGCTTGGTAGACACACAGAAAGTTGATGATCTTTCTACTGGCACAATTTCTGAAAACAATCTTTACAAAGCAGTTACGCTGGGATACCCTGCTATTGACAAAGGAAAGCAGGAAAGCACGGCTTATATCCCTCTTATGGAGTTCAGTTCTCACCATTCTCACTTAGTGAGTTTACCTGAAGAATGGAGGTCTAGCTGTTTACCCAGCTCCAAAATGAAAGAGATGAGCTCCCTCTTTCCAGAAGACTGGTACCAGTTTGTCTTAAGTCAGTTAGACTGTTTCCACTCAGAAGAAATGGCCTCAACTGCACTGGAAGAAATTTTAAAGGACAAAGTTTTAAAAGACTTCTACATTCACATAGTAATGACTTGTTACTTTGGTTTATTGGGAATAGACAATCTTGTTCCCACTGCTGGCCATCTAGTCAGAGTTTATGGTGGTGGTCTGCCCTGGTCTAGTGCCTTGGATTGGCTCACAATAAAGCCAGAACTGTTCCAGCTAGCTCTGAAAGCTTTCAGGTAACTCATTTACATTATATATACAGGTTGTAACATTGGAACTAGCAGAAAAATGTTCTATTTTTACTTTGAGGGTGTTTAAAATTCAACTGGAAGACTTACTCAGTTCTAATTTTTAAAATTCACTCCCCAAGATTGAAGAACACTTCGTATACATTGTAATTTTATCAGCAGTACTCTTTAATTTCTGCCTTTTGTTTTTGTGTAAAGGACCTATTTTTCATGTAGCTGGCTGTTATTCACTCTTAGTACATCATTTCTCTTCTACTCTTTGAAATGTAGATGATTTCAATTCAGTTTTAAATTCAGTCTTAAAAATACTCATCAAACAAGCACATTTCACCCCTAGGGTTGATATAAAAGTTCTCAAAAATTGCTTGGTTTTCCATTTTTCAGATATTCTCTGAAACTAATGGTAGATAAAGCAAGTTTAGGTCCAATAGAAGATTTCAAAGAGCTGAGCAGCTGCCTCGAGGAATATGAAAATGACTGGTACATTGGTTTAGTATCAGATGAAAAGTGGAAGGAAGCAGTTTCACAAGAAAAGCCTTGCTTGTTCTCTCTGGGCTATGATCCTCATATGGTAAGGTGAAAAATATTTTTTTAACATTTTCTTATATTAACCTTAATGATTACAAATGTTATAAAATATCTGAACCAGGCAATAGACAGACAACATTCTAGTTATTGATATATATTAATTATAGTTTCAGAGCATTTTTAATCATGACTTCAAACATAATCCAGCCCTAAAACACTTGATTCATTTACTTTTCCCAACTGAGTAAGAAACATTTAAGAATACTGTGCAGCCGTTGTGCAACGACTAACCCCTAAGGTAGCCAAGTACATGTAATTTGCACATTTGACAAAATGGTTTGTATTGCTACACCTGCTTCAAGCATTAGAGTGATCACTTGGTTTTGACTCCTACAAGAAATATTAACTTGTAAGTGGAAAATTATTTCTTTGGCTGGCACCTGCATTTTATTTGAAGCAATCCTAGCCAGGAAGAATTCAGGGAGACCCCAATAGATGATTTTTAAATATTTAATACTTTTTCTTATCACATTGGTTGGGTGCATTGTGAAAGACTCAATGTTATGAGCCTACCGTGCATTCCAAGTCTGACTGGCACGACTGTGTGAGGACCGGCTCAAATGCTCTTCCCAACATAATTTACAGAAAAAAAGTTGGACAACCATTGAAATTTTCAGAAATAGTCCTTACAGCATAAGGTAAATGAAGAAATAAAGTTGCTTACAAAATCTAAAACATAGTAAAAACAGCAAAAGACCAGAATTAGAATCAACACTCACTGTCTTCCCCTGAGGAAAGAAATGCTCTACTCTGGTGCCCCAGGAACACAGGGCTCTTCACCCTCTGTTACCAGTTTTCCCAAGGGGGACAGTCCCACGTTTCTCCTCCAGGTTCCCACTATTGTTACTGAGCCTAGATTTCAGTCACATGTAGTCCAGACTTGGGGAGTGCCTCTGGTACCCTACTCCTGGGATGGGAGCTGTATCTTGGGCGTGTGGGCACTGAGAATGTAGAGCCTGCTCACCTTTGCTACTGAAAAGCAGAAGCTCTGCAGTGGAAGAGGTAAACTGAAATACCTGTCTCTGCTCTAATGAGTGGTTGTCTTCAGAGCAGAGCTGTCACACAGAAGCAAGATACTTTCCCACCTCAGGCACCTCAAAGATTTTGTTATGTAGGAGAAGCAAAAAAAGTGGAGCTCTGAAACTCTTTCAAAGAACTTATTAATTTCAACAGTGTGGATCCTTTCAAGCCTGCCATGGTCTCAGGATCAAGGCAGATTTTGGTAAAAAGTAAACTGGCTGGATTACCAAGGAAGATGGAGAAAGAACTGTCAGAGAAGAGCCTGAGAAGTCAGGTCATAACAAAGGTCAGACACAGATGCCCAAAGCAATTCCTTTTACGGAGTCCAAATTCGTTTGTTTCAGTCTATGAAGGAGTTTGTGACCTAGGTTGTTATGAAAACAACTTAGGCAAGTAGTGACAATTAATAGAGGTCCTGTAGTCTTAGTCTCTAATATCCAACAGTCGCAGTTTAAAGGAGGAAAGGTTTATTTTGGCTCATATTTTGAGTCTATAGTCAGCTGCCTCCAAGGTAGAAACAAAATGATAGAAGGGCCTGGGTAGAAGCAGCTGGGTAGCAGGCAGGGAAGGAAGAGAGGACATGGAGGGAGATACACCCTCCCAGGTTATGTTCCCAGCAACTCACATCCAACCAGTCCCTACCTCCTCAAAGCAAGTGAGGTTTATCACTGCTGTGGTCCAGTCACTTTCCAGAAGCCCTACCGCTGAACATATCAGGCTTTTGGCTGACATCCTGGATCTAAAAGAGTGATGGCAAACCTTTCAGAGGCCAAGTACCCAAACCGTGACCCCATATCCACTTATTTATCACCAAGTGCCAACACTGCAATTAAACTTGCACGGGGCTGCTGGGGCGGTGCTGGCATAACTTGGCTTAATAGAGAGAGCTCTGTGTATCTGCTGTAGCATGTGTGCTGTAGGTTCATTTTTGGTGATCGAAGCTGTAACACCTCCTAAAGTAACTGGGTATTTTGTGAGGTTACATCCCCAGAGAGCAGTGCCTTAGACTTCCCTTAGGGAAGGGGTAGAAGGTAGGTAAGGCAGAGGTTTAGCAGTAATCAAGTCGCACACTCAAAGAACTGAACATCAGTAATATGCTCAGGAGTAAGGGAGGACAAGGAGGAGCAGTACCTAGAGTTTCTACAATGCTATCTGAATTGTCTAGTTTTCAACAAAGAGTTTGAAGACATGCAAAGAAAGAGAAAATTCTAACCCATAGAGGAGGAGGAAACAGGACCAAACTGGCAGCCTTGGTGAAAGTGCAGCTGGCAGCACCCAGAACGAGGAGCTACCTGAAACCCTGTGTTCCTGTGCATGAAGATGTCTCTGTGGACTTGGGAAGAAGCTGCTAGAAGCAGCAATAAAAGGCCAATATGGTGAAGTGAGGACGATGGTGGCAGATGGTGCCCCGTTCACCACAAGCTGGCTCGGAACCTCCCGCTGCACCGTGTAGCCCAGCACGGACACTGTCCCACTGCAGGGGTACTGCTTCGCGTGGGAATCAGCAGGGAAGACCGCACTGAAGTGGGCAGGACCCCTCTGCATATGGCTGTGGCTGATGGACATGCACACATCGTGGAGCTGCTTTTGGGAACAGTGCAGATGTGAATGCCAGGGACACACTGAAGATGACAGCTTTGCACAGAGCCACAGAGCACCACCATCTGGACGTTGTCGAGTTGTTTATCAAGTACAGGGCTGATGTTCTTGCCTGCAGCAAGTCTGATAAATTGGCCTTAGACATATCCCTGGAGAAGACGCTGAGATTTTGATCATCCTCCGGGAAGCAATGAGAGTCAGATCACTGCCAACCCTGAGAGAGCCAAGCCCATGACCAACCCCGTGACAGTGGCTGCTCCATTCCTCCTCCTCACCGGAGAGGCTGTTAACCTCCCCAGCCTTGTTTCTTCAGCCAACACCAAGCAACCTGAGCCAACCCAGAGGAAATCACACAGGGAAATCCTGTTGACTCATCAGTCCAGAAAGTGATGGGGAGTGGAGGCCAGAGAGTCATCACCATAGTGACTGATGGATTTCCTCTAGCTAATATTCCAACTGACATCCTTCCCAGAGGCCTTGGCTAGCCATTTATGGTAACTGTGCAAGATGGACAGCAAGTTCTAACTGTACCTGCTGATCATGTTGCAGAGGAGGCTATGGTTGAGGAGGAAAAGGAAGAAGCAGAGAAGTTACCATGGATGAAGAAACCAAGGATGGAAGAGATGACAAACAGTGTGGAGGAGAGTAAGAGGACAGCAGAAGAGAATCACTGCAGCGAATCCAGGAGGCCAATCTGAGAGCCCAGGAGTCCTGGTGCAACCTCCTAAAGAAAGAGCAGGAAGCACAACAGTGCCACCTTCGGCTGGAGGCCATGGCCCGACCACTGCGATGGAGCTGAAGAGATAGCTGAGGTGGATGCTGTAGGAATCCCAGAAAGTCAGGAGAAAGAGAAAGAAGCAGAAGGGACTTGGTCAGGATGCACACAGAACCTGGTACCAGAGTTCCTCTGGAAACAGTTTCGTCCTGACACGCGAGATCCACAACTTGCATTGTGTTCATCTGTTCCTTTTGTAAGAAGAAAACACAGCTGGGCATGGTGACGCACACCTGTACTCTCAGCTACTTGTGAGGCTGAAGCAAGAGGAAGGAAAGTTTGAGGCCAGCTTGGGCAATTTAGTGAGTGTCTGTGTCTGAAAAGGGCTGCGGTGTGGCTCAGTTGCAGAGTGCTTGGCTAGCACGTGCATGGCCTTAAATTCAAGCCTTAGTACCACAGAAGCAAGAGGAAAAATAACGCAGAGGGTAAAAACTGTAGTAAAAACGTGTCCTTAAGAAAACTAGGCTGGAGGTGAAGCTCTGTGACAGATGCTTGCCTGTCATGTACAAGGCCTGGAAATGACCCTCAGCACTGAGAAAAGAAACACCCAACAATTATAGCAGGGAGCAGTGGTTGGGCCCAGGAAGGCTCTGTATGCAAATGGAAACTTCAAAGTCATGTTAACGAATACTTTTTGTAAGGGACCAAAAAAGTAAAGACCACATTTCTGGGTTCACATCACTGCTGTAAGGTAAAGATTACGAGTGTTGATATTGTGGGTTGACTTTTTTTTAATAACTGACTTTGTATTAAAAACTTTTTGAGATTATATTCCTAATACACAAAAAAAGAATACTGCAAAGAAGTCTTTCAAGCATGGAAGCAATATAGGGAGATTACCCGCTAAACAAAATGATGACCTGGACCAGAGATTATTTAGCTCAGTGGTGCTGCCACCTGCCTCCCACCTCCTGAGCACAAGGTCCCGAGTTCCATTCCCAGTACCAAAACAAACAAACAAATAAATAAAGATAATAAAATGATGACTGTTACATATCTTCCCACTGAATGAAAAATACTTAAAGATTTCACCTGGCTGAATTCATCTTGCCCCAGAAAATAACTTGAATCCCCTCAAAAACCAAAAGCACACACAATTATGGTAATTGTATAATTATAAAAACAGTATAAATCAGTGTTCATTTTCCTGATTTGAAAGTATTTTTGAAAGCATTGGCTCTTTTGGACCTGTGACATACAGACACGCAGTGCACCGGCCAATAGTTACACAGAGGAGATCCTCAGAGGCAGTGCTGCAGTGGAAGCCTGATGTGCTCTCAGAAGTGATGACCGCATCCAGCACCCCGCCGTGAACTCAGCAGATGCGATCCAGGCTCTTGTGATCAGAGCGCAGTGCGTGGGAAGCGTACACTCATTGGCAAATGAAAAGCAGCCAGGTTTCTTGGAGAGCAGGGAAAGTTGTGCTCAGGGCAAGTACATGCTGACAAAAATACGGCAAAACCAGAAAAGTGTTTACAGGAACGCGAAAGCACTGCAGCAAAATGCAGCAAGCATCAGCTCCCAGATGAATGATTCTTTGGGAATTCTTCAGAACTGCACCCAGGTGCCCCACCCCGATTTGTAGATAT